AAAACACCCGCGCCGTGTTATGATTTTGAAACGTGCAGTGCTCATGTTTATTCAACGAAGTCAAACGGCACAAATAAATCAATGTATGGGAAACTGGTAATGTATATCGAAATATCGGAAATGTGTTTAAAAATCATATCACCGTTATTGAAAAAAATTATATCGCGATACATATTGATATTGAATTATTGTCCAGCCCTAATTCTAGGTTTAAGAAACTCCAACATATGTTTAAACAACATACGTTTTTTAGCTTATTTAACACAATATTTTGCTGTCTTAACAAAAAATATTTCTGGAAAGTGTTTCTCTTCATTCACTGTTCGCTGATTCTTGCTTTTGTCAGTAGAGAATAACAGCAATAATAGAGCAATAACACATCAGTCTCTTCCTGGTAAGTGCTGTAAGAGGGTGAAGTTTATGATCAAGTGGGTGTGTTGAAACAAGTCAAAGAACAACATCAGGATTTCTTCAGGGTAAATTTAAGAAACCTTGAATTGAAGCTTTCTCAAGTATAATGCTAGAACACCATGAATCAAAACAGACCAATGAAAACACATAGACCTCCAAACCCTTACATGTGTTTTATTTGTTGCTCTTTATTTGTCACACACATTTTCTCCAGTGTCTGTCATAATCAAATCTGTGTCAGAGTAATTTCTTCACATGCTGAAGATCATAAAGACTTCAAGTCAAGTCAAGTCAAGTTGAGCTTTATTGTCATTCTGCTGCATGTGGGGACATACAGTGGAACGAAATGTCGTGCCTCACAGGACCACGGTGTTACATAAATACAGGCATACAACAATGAAGTAAAACAGTAAAAACCTATACAGTAAAGCAGTAAAAACCTATACACAACTAACCTACTGACTGATTTTGATTATAAATATACTATATATATATATATAAATGTTTACCTATACATAAGTTAAAAAAATGCAGACTATACGGATGCTTCACATAAACACTGTACCTATACACAGCTAACCTACTGACAGATTTTGACTATGAATATACTATATATAAATGTTTACCTATGCATAAATATTTAAAAAAAATAAATAAATAAAAATAAAAAATACAGACTATACGGATGCTTCACATAATACTGTACATGTGCAAAGAGAAACATCGTAAGTCAAGCAGCTGGCTGGGGAACAGTGCAGATGATTTGTAGTGCATGAGCATGTAAACACACCTATTACGGAGTCTTTTGTGGAATTATGAACACAAAGCAGTGTGTGTGAAAAGTGTCTAGTGCGCATAGAGGAGAGTGTGTTTCTACAGGTGGTTTGTGCAGGCCCTGTAGCACACTTCGAATTGTTTCAGACAGTTTTTTGTGATGTGGTAAGGTTGGTGAGATGGTCCATGTTTCAGGAGGTAGGGGGTTGTGTGGGGTTTCAGAGGAGGGCGGGGTGATTTTAGTTCAGTTTAGTTATTTTATAGAATCTCACCTTTTTTCCTGATAAATAAACTGTCTCACCCGTATAAGGACAATATCTGCTGCTTCAATGGCTACATCTGTACCCGTTCCTATGGCAATGCCCAGATCAGCATGGGCAAGAGCGGGTGAATCATTGACTCCATCGCCCACCATTGCAACTTTCAGACCTCGTTCCTGCAATTCCTGGACTTTTGCCACTTTATGGGAGGGCAAGACTTCCGCAAACACTTTTCTTATGCCCACCTGTATAACAAAACCGTGTACAAATGCACAAATGCAAACTGGCTGTCAGAACTGGATGGCTTTTCCAACTTTTTGGTTAAATGTTGCAGGAAAAAAAGAGCTGTTGTCAGTGTAGCGATTTGTGAAGCATGGTTTAGATAATAGATTAAACCAAGTAGATTTTTATTGGTCAACACAGCAAATTAGCGTGACCAACTTTTGTAAAATCTCCCTAGGAAAATCGTTTGCCTTCATGTGAAATTCCTGAAATATTGAAATAACAGGATTTCGTCTTTGCCAAACAACAGTAAATGTACGGTAAAATTTTGCATGCAAAAAATGATTCACTGCTCACTTTTAAATTAAGCAGCTTTCTGTTGGTCAGTGTGATGAATTTACAGGACCAAATTGAACATGAGTGAAATATGTTTTGGGAACTTTTTCACCTTCGTATGAAACTTCTCAATGCACAGATTCATACTACAATGACTGGATTTCGCCCATGAACAAAACCTTTAATGACTGCACCTTTATTAACATATTTTGATATTTACATTATTTTGAGTTGTTATATAATACGATTTTATATGGTACTAGGCAAAATGCAAATGTGCATGTGCTGTATGTACATGCACCTCAGGGTGTGAACAGCTAGAGCCGACTCTTCCTTCACTGTGTCTGCCACAGCTAACATAGCACACAGCACACCTGAGAAACAGAGACAGAAAGACAGAACTGGTAGGATAAATGTGAGCTTTTGAAATAAAAAGCTTGACATAATTAATAGTCTGACAAATAATAACAAAACTAAAATATGACATTATACTAACATTATATCGTATGTGGACTTCAGGTGAAAAAAGTATGATACTACCCTTTAAAAAAATTTGGATACAATAGCAAGTTCTTTTGATATTTAAAAAAAAAAAAACTTTTTATTTGCCTTTTAAACAAAACATAACGTACCGTCGATGGCCACAAGTATGGCCGTCTGTCCTTTAGTCTCATGGCTGCTCATGGCATCATCCACATCAGCTGTGACCTCCAAACCATTCCTCATCATCCACTGTCTGTTCCCAATCAAAACAGAGTATGAAGGGCTCTCTGGAAAAACACATATACATAAATCTTGTATCTCTGTCTTCATACATATAGGCCCGGTTTCACAGACAGGGCTTAGAATAAGCCAGGATTAGGCCATTAGGACCATTTAAGTCGTTTTTATGAATGTACTTGACTGAACAAACATTACTGGTGTGCATCTTGAGATAAAACAAAGGCACTGATATATTTTAAGATCAGTCAGTGAAACAGCTCAGACTTACATTTTAGTCTAGGATTAGGCTTAAGCCTTGTCTGTGAAACCGGGGGTAAGAATTTAATTAATTCAAGGAAATGTGAGCCATAATAACTTGGAAATAAATAAGAAAAGGGGACATATCATGGAAAACACCCATTTCCTTACTCTTTTGAAAAGAATTGGTACATAGACCTTCTCTAACATTCACAACATAAAGCTTTTATGCTTTAAAACTACATAAGCTACGGCTAAATGATTAATATTACATTACCAGTCAAATGTTTTGAATAATTACGATTTTTTTTAAATGTTTGAAAAAAGACTTGTATGATTACCAAAGCTGCATTTAAAAAAATACAGTTTAAACTGTAATATTTTAAAATATTATTAGAATTGTTTTCTATTTTAATATATTTTAAATTTAATTTATTCCTGTGATGGCAAAGCTGAATTTTCAGCAGTGTCACCAGTCACACATGATCCTTCAGAGATTATTCTGATATGCTAATCTGGCATAATTATTAATGACGGTTATTATCAATGGTGAAAACCGTTTTTGCTGCTTAATATGTTTGTGCAATGTTTCTTAAGCACCTAATCAGCATATTAAAATGATTTATGTAGGATCGTGTAACGCTGAAAACTGGAATAATAGCTACTGAAAATTAATCTTTGCAATCACAGGAATACATTACAATTTATCCTCTTAAGACCCTGCGGCCTCATATGAGGACATTATATTTTTGATACATTGTATATAATGAGAAAACCTGTTTATGGCCATTTTACACACATTTTGCAGTAAGAAAAATTGTATATTGAATCATTCTGTTATAACATAGTTGAGAATCATCTTTATACAAAGTTTGATAAAAAAAAATCTTGAAAACTAAAAATGTATTGGTGATTTAAAAAATCAATTGTTTTTGCCTATGAAATTGAGTCCAGATGTCCTCTACCGAGGACATAGCATAACTTATGAATGAAATATCTTTTTTTAATATATATATCTTTTTTACTATTTTATTTTTAATGCTCTAAACAATGTAAAGACATGGAAAAAACTAACTTTTTCCTAAAACTTTTTTCTCGGGTCTTAAGAGGTTAAAATATATTAAAATAGAAATCAGTTCTCGTAAACTGTAATAATATTTAACAATATTACTGTTTTTACTGTATTTTTCATAAAATAAATACAGTCTTGGTAGTGTACAAAGCACTATTAAATTATTGAATTATACATTTAATATAAAATAAAACTATATGTGGAAAAAAAATAAAATGTTTCAAAAGATTAGAAAAGGCCCTTTTAAAGGAAAAAAGCTCTAATAATGCACAGAGTGATACACAAAACTCACGCTAGGAGGCGACAAAAACATTTACCTTACCTGACCCTGAACGTGTGTCTGTGTCTGCCAACAAGCTGCTCTCATCTGTGGTGGCTCCTTGGAGGGTGACAAGAAGTGGTGTTTGCTTTGCTGCGGATGTGTTTGTTTCTTGTGTCTTTGGGCTGTTCTGCAGCAGATCCTCAATGTTGGAGACTTTACAGCTGATTCCACAGCCAGGAACAGCCTGGAAGTCATGGCAGTAGCCCAGAGTTTCTGTTCCCAACTCCTACAGAAAGACAGATTTAGAAGCAGACAGACCCATTTAGAAACCTCCTAAGAGCAGTTGTATTTATTTAAACAGATGCTTTAATCAGAATTGGACTGGAAACAGGCTTTCCTGAATTTCATAAAGTTTTGTATGCATGGCACATAATGCCCAAAGGCTGCATCATATGAAACTGTACTGAAGTTTCAAAGTTTGTTGTGTCTGCTGGTTTTTCCAAACCTCTTTGCAATGCTTGGCCACAGCCATGCCCAACGGGTGTTCACTGCTGGCCTCAGCGGTGCCCACCACAGCCAGAACCTTCCGAAGAGGAAGCCTTGCTCGGTCCCACAGGACCAGTACTCTGGTCACCTGCGGCACACCATTAGTGATGGTGCCCGTCTTATCAAACATAACAGCCCCAACCTGCAGGAACAGCAGGGAAGAGAGTCAAATTACAACAGACTATCCAGTAAATCCTGAAAGAATCTGAAAATTTTTGTCCGAGCTATATTCATAACAGCATCCTATCACTCTGTATATGAATACAGATACATTGGACGTAAAATAGAATATAGAATTTTGTAAGATAATAGATATATATTAATTATTAAAAACTATATTATAAATATTATATGTATTTTTGATACTATGCTTGATTTTTATACACCAGGGTTATTCGTTTGTTAACTAAAACTAAAACTGAACCTAAAATTAAAACCACAAAAAAAACTTGTCATTACTTAAAATAAAATAAACGTTAACTGAAATAAAATATGATGTAAAATAACTAAAACAAATAAATGAAAATTAATAAAAGATATATGAAACTAATAAAAATGTCAAAAACATGCAACATAATTACTAAAACTTTAACTAAAATTAAAATGAAAACAGAAAATATAAAAACTGATTCAAAATATTAATAAAACTAATAAAAAAATGTATCTCAATGATGCTAACACTGAACACTACCATTTAAAATTTTGTGGTCATGTAGGATTTTTAATGGTAATGTTTATGAAAAATAAAAATGAGTAAATAAAGTTTTTGAAAGAAGAAAATAAGTTGTCTCTTATGCTCACCAATGCTGCGTTTATATGACCAAAACAATAAAAAATAGTAATATGTGAAATATGACATTGAAATAACTCTTTTCTATTTTCATATATTTTAAAATATAATTTATTTCTGTGATGGCAAAGCTGAATTTTCAACAGCCATTTCTCTAGCCTTCAATGTCACATGATCCTTCAGAAATCATTTTAATATGCTGATGTGAAAGAAAAAAAGCTACTTAATTCTTTATGGAATCCATGATACAATGAATCCATGATTTTTTGATGAATAGAAGGTTCGAAAGCACTTTATTTGTTAATTTAGCTAGTTAGTTAGTTAGTTAGTAACAATGTAACAATGTTTACTACGATCACTTTAATGCATACCTGTTGAATACAAGTATCAATTTCTTAAAACAAAAACCTTACTGGCCCCAAACTTTTGAACAGTAGTATTTATACAGTAGATACATTGTACATAAATATCCAGCAACATTTCTACAGATCCCACTACAGCTGGGATGTCAGCCTAATAAATACAGACTCAAAAGAAGGACATATGGTTGAGCATTGCCTTGTGGGCCATCTCCAGAGGTTCTCCTCCCTTTATGAGAATGCCATTCTGAGCGCCCACCCCTGTGCCCACCATAACAGCAGTGGGGGTCGCCAGACCCAGAGAGCAGGGGCATGCGATGGACAGAACTGTGATGGAGGCCTGGAACGCAAAGCGAACGATCACCTCTGTTCGGGGGATGTTTTGGTTGTAACCCTGTGAAGATCATACTTATTTTAAAGACGTTTCCTGTTTTTTTACACAGATCTGTCTGTAATAAAGGTTGCATTTTCACATAGTTCATGAATTATTGTAACTCACAGGGAAATACTTTGCCACAACTTCAAAGTCCAGAAAGCCAATGATAAGCCATGCAACCACTGTCAGCACGGAGATCACCACTATAAACGGAACGAAATAGCCACTCAGTTTGTCAGCTAACTGCTGAATCGGTGCCTGCAAAGAGAAGAGGACAGTTACATCCCAATTCTAACACTGCATAATAATAGCTTTTAATCAAAAAGTAGAGGAGAAACATGAATATGTACTGCCAAATTTAACATGTGACTGGATGTTATTAATTACATGTTTTATTCACTTCTGTTCCCACAAAGTTCTGAAACAAATAATTATACAAAAGCCTTTTATTTATCTCTCTCTCTTTTATACTATCTCTCAAAAGCCTTCTTAGATGAATTATGAATAAATATTTTAATAGATTATCAACTGTAGTAAAAATTAAACTGAAAAGTAAAAGTAAATGTGAAAGTAAACTTGCTTTTGTATGCATGTGCATGTATATTAAAAAGAAAATTGCTGAGAAAATGAGAGTTCAAATAGCTGACAGAAACAGCACAATAATCCTCAAGTAATCCACATGACTCCATTAATTAATGTTTATGTTAATGTTTTAAATAATGTTTGTATGGACTGTATTGTTTAAAGTTAAAATGTCTTGATGATGGATTTATTTATTACAAACTGAAGCTTTTCCGCTTCATAAAATGGATGGGTGGATTACTTGTGGTTTATGATGTTTCTATCAGCTGTTTGGCCTCTCATTCTGACGGCACCCATTCACTGCAGAGGATCCACTGGCAAACAAGTGATGTAATGCAAAATTTCTCCAAATCTGTTCCGAAAAATAAACAAACTCACCTATATCTTGGATGTTTCATAAATGTTCATTTTTCTAAGTAAACTGTTTCTTTAAGGGTGTTCACACTTAGGTTCACTCTTTGCAAAACACTAAAAGTTACAATACAAATATTTATCTACTAAATTCATCACTAAATTCAGATTTGTAAATTCATCTACAAATCTTTGTCCACAGTAAAGTAGAGATGCTCTTCAATCTAAAACACTCAACTATATACTTCTTTAATTAAATCTCAACCTTTGATATGATAAGAAGCCCTTTTTTAATGTTACATTCGATTTCATTGTTAGCTTTCAATCAACTCATGAACCCCCTGCAGTTCCCTCATAACCCCTGGTCTAAAAGGTATGTTTGTGCATATGTGTGTGTGTGTGTGTGTGTTTTATGTTTGTGCTCATGAGTTACCTTTGATGTCTGGGCCTCTTCCACTAGTTTGACTATCTGGCTGAGCGTGGTCTCTGCCCCTACATGTGTGGCTTCCACTAGCAGAGCTCCATGAGCGTTAATAGAGCCTGCAATCACACAACTGCCTGGTTTCTTAATGACCGGCATTGGCTCCCCTGGAATGACAAATAGACTTTCAGTTAGGACTTCAGATTCGTATCCATCAGGCAGCTTTGGACCTTTGGGCCAATATAATGCCAGTGTAACTAATGAACATGATAGATCACTAGGAAAAAGCAGAACAAGCTAAAGAGGAGGTGAAGCCAGAAACCAAAAATCATACTTTGAAATGAAGTAGACACGACAACACTCACTCTAAATGAAAAATTTACTTTTCAACAAAGATGATTTGTGATTAATGATTAATTTGTACTCCTTTCCTATCCCAGCTTAATATATACACTTTGCCTTGAAATGAAAACCAACATGACGTTTTGCAGCTTCCACTTTTCAAAGTAAATCACTGGGAAAACCCAAAGTATGTACTATGACACTGTTTACAAATGTAGACAGATTTAACGTCCTAAACCACACAAACCCCCGCTGACTGAGTCAAAGTCTTACCAGTGATAAGGGACTCATCTGCCATAGACGTGCCTTCAATGACCTTGCCGTCAACAGGGAACTTTCCCCCTGGTGCCACCTTTACCACATCACCTCTCTGCACCAGCTCCACAGAAACCTGCTCTTCTCTGACACATGACAGCAAACTGACAGTTAAGTCTTATAAGCCTTGAGCAACACAGCACACACATCAATCAACACCATTCAGAATTCTGAGGTTCTACTAGATCTAATGAAATTCATTTATGCCAAGGGCGCTCAATCCTGCTCCTTTGAGAGCCAAACTCTATTGCAGAGGTCAACAACTGAAGTGCCATCCATTCGTACTGATAGCTGTTCAATTGAACCACTATCTTACTCACACTCACAGCAGTGCTGTTGCACTAATGCAGTTTATTCTATATTTTTGTTGCTCTTTGCGCTCTTAACAATTATTTGTACATGAGGAAGTAAATTTAATAAATATATATTCTATTATATTGCATATACTGAAGTCAGTTTTATCTGTGGATGTTTTAATTGATTATCATTAAATTAATCTAAAGTGACAGTAAAGAACATTGGTAATAATTAATTAAAATTAAAGTTTCTTAAGCACAAAATCAGCATATTAGTCTGAGTTATTGAAATTGGTTATAATATTACTGTTTTCACTGTATTTCTATCAGATAAATGCAGCCTTGGCAAAAATATTAAAACTTCTTTACTTTGTGTAAAAATAGTGTAAATAATCACTTTTGCTTGTATTCATTTCATTTATGAATAAATGTAAATGTTTATTTTATAAATAAAATATATTTTGAATCTCTTTTAAAATGCAATACTTAAATCTTGTTTTGATAATAATTAAAAATGCTGTAAGGGATTTTTTTTTTTTTGGGGGAATATTGCACATACAATGTACAATGTCCCTAATACCTGGCAGATGCCATTGAAATAAGTGTCCTGGGAAATCATAGCTGTCTCTGTGACAGCCCTCTGTAAACAGAAAAGAAGGAGAAGCAGTGCTTATTTTTGTCAGAAATTCTCTCTGCCTGTCAATCATTTTGTGCGTTCGGGTTTGCTGGCATGTCCTTGGAGGATGTGGTTTTGGAGAGAGAAACTTATCACACGAGTTAAGGTGTTCCTTTCGATAAGACTACATTTGATACATATAAATAAGAAGGCTGATATCAAGATATCATAAAATTAAAAAAATGGAACGTGTTAAAAAGCATCGAATTATTAGTTCACTAATGAGCTTATTGAGCACCCCTGAAAAATGGCTAGTTTCTAACTAAAAGCTCATATAATGACTTCTGTCTAGGGTGAAGTGAACCTGATGATGGTGTTGTCTCTGCCCAGGGTCACTATAGTGGCATCTGTGGCCTGAAGTGACATCAGTTTAGCCAGAGCCTCAGATGTTTTACTCTGCAAGGACAAAATAAAAGCAAAAAAATCATGTTTTTCTCATCCAGGCAAGACTTATGCTCAAATGGCAAGCCCACAGACACAGTCCTGGCTCATGAGCACCTGTTTTTTGTTGCATTCTGCATCCTTATTTGAATTCATTGTTTGTTGCCGGTTTGATGTACAGGTTATAATCTACTGTATTTTCAGATAAACACCCACCTTAATGGCATACATAATATACTTTATATACTTTAGCTACTAATATGTACCTTATTCTAACTTTTTCTTACTACAAAGATGTTATACATACTGAAACTATAAAAAACTTGTGTATTATCAAAACACAAGTTGCTGGATATTTTGTGGCTGTTCTTGTTACAGTTCAGAGCAGCTTGAGGAAGCTCCTCAGACCTGCAAAGAGCAATTAATTATTTCAGCATTTTAATAACATAATGATAGCTCTGTCACATGAAGCATGTCAGTGAATGCATGACAGAGAGATCACAGCACCAGACATACAGTAGTAAACACATGGTCATAAACCACTGCTTCTGCTGTATTAAATAAGCATTTTCCGTTATAATGATGCACACTAGTGCTGTGATATATTGCTTTATCAGCTTGCTAATAAATTAGACTGTATGGGAAATATCAAGATAAGTGGATATTAAAATATGTAAATGTTTCATTCTTATGGTAACATCTAAATTAACTGTCTTTTTTTCAAGTAAAAGCTGCACCTGTTAATAATATTTCAAAATGCACATTTACCGTACCATTAACATATTAGGCTGATACACCATGATGTTTCCTACTTTTATGTAAACTAATGTTTAAAAGTTCAACTTGATAACATGTTTCAAACATCAACCAAGATGTGCTTCCTCTCAGTTATTATAATGCATTAACTATAGTCAAAAACATAATTTTGTCACTGTCTTGATAAGCTATTAATAGAGACTGATCATTTACTGTATATTTGAGTGTTTTTTGATGTTCTTTTACCTTAGCAACATGCTCCAGCCAGCGTCCTAGAGCGATGAACACAAAAAGCATCGGAGGAGTGTCAAAAAATGTCAGAGGACTCTGTTTGGCTCCTTCAATCATGGCTACGATCAGCACTATGAATGAATACACGTATGCAATGGTGGTCGCCAAGACTATGAGCACATCCATGTTGGCTACACCATGTCTTAGCGAACGGTATGCTTGTATGTAGAAGTAACGTCCACCTAGAAACTGAATGAGAATAAAGGAGAACCAGATAAAGAGAGAAATACTATATTATCAGTTATTCGTTGGTTGTCATTCAAACTATTATGTATGACCTTAATGTGATAAGTATTACACAGTAAAACATTACTAATATAAAATAGCACCAGTAATGGACACTAAATCTAAATCACTAAATATCTAATCAATTGCAGATTCATTCTGGAATGAAACTAATGAGTCATTAAATCATTTACTCAACCAATTTGTTCCAAAGCTTTGTGTGGAATCATTTTCCCTGGCAAACTGCTGTATTAAAGCACATTTATAATTATAATTTAATCAATGCTATTCTTTTGAACTTTCTATTCATCAAAGATGCCTGAAAAAAAGTATCATGGTTTCCAAAAATATATGTTGCTTGAGCAGCAAATCAGCATATTAGAATGATTTCTGAAGGATCATGTGACACTGAAGACTGGAGTAATGATGCTGAAAATTCAGCTTTGCCATCAAAGGAATAAATAAGATATTAAATTCTTATATATTTATATTCTTCTTTTTTTAGAAATTACATAACTACTATGAGCGATACTACACTAAACCCTACTTCAGAGTAACAAAAACTACCTGTATAAAACACATGAAAAGACACATAATAATGCACACTGTAGTCTTGAAGAAATTCTGTTGAAATTTTGCACAAGAACCTTCTATGCCCACATAAATTAGGCAATTATTAATGAATGAGACTCAACGTTCTTCTATAACCTGCAGTGGAAATACCTGAACAGGTGTGCAAAGCAGGAAGAAGGCCAAGTTAATGATGGAGAGACCAGGTAGGATGTTCTGGTCCACAGGCATGGAACCACCATGTTCCTTGTGTTGACTGTCCATCACCATCATGTAAATCATCAGACCCATCACTGGGATCCCAAACACCAAACTGAACAGAAACGAATGCTTCCATCTGTAGGTATAGACCAGTTTACACTATAACTTATAGCAATAAAAAAACTTACTCACTCTCTGACACACACACACACACACACACACACACACACACACAGAAGTGCGCGAGGTTAATTTTGAAAAAGATACTTGCTGCCGAATTTCCTCTTGGTGGTCCAGTGTGTTGTTCAGTCCCTTATTTTTTATTAAAGACACACCAAAACCCAAACCCTAGAGAACAGAGAAAGAACAGATAAATTAATTGAACGAATAAGAAAACAACAATATTTAAAACCTAATTAAACCTCATCCTTCTTAAACATATAAATATCATTTTACCTCAATAATTCGGACGATATCTCTAGAGCCAATCAAATCCGGGTCAAACTTCACATGAGCTTTGTTTGTCGCCAAAGCAACAGAGGCTTCCAGTATTCCCTTTGTCCTCATAAGTTTGCTTTCGATGTTATGGACACAGGAAGCACATGTCATACCGGTGACCTGATGAAATATCTGTGTCAAGACTGAAATCCACAAGACTGAAACAAGCTCATCAAACCATTCTTTTGTTGAATTCTACATAAGACCTTCATAAGGATTTCTATTTCATCTCTCTTCCCACTGGGAAAGAGGGCAAAAAAAGAAGACAAAGTAATGTTTTTCTTTTTTTACTTGGGTTTTTCATTCCAATATATAAAAATGCATTGCCTTATGTAGAGATCATGTATCCTCTAAATACAGGCAGTTTTCAGTTCAAGCAGTGGATTTTTGTTTTTACTTAAAAATAGCAAATTGTTGAACACAGGTACTGGGGAAAGAGAATCAGTCATGCAATTTGGCAGATATAAATGGGAGAAAAAACCCATAGACTTCCACATACTTTAGGTTTAATTTTTGTATTATTGTTTAATTATATTAATTATATGTATAATGTTCTTCCCAGCCAATTTGCATTGTTGGGGAATGGCAAGCACCCCAGCATGCCAGCTGTGCCAGAAGAGGGGCACCTTGGAGCACATCCTGAGTGCCTGCCCAAAGGTGTTGGGGAAGGGAGATACCGCTGCGCCATGACCAAGTGTTAAGGTCTTTGGCAGATACTATCAGTACAGCAATTCAAGAAAGTAAGAATCAACATGCCCCCCGACAATACATCTCCTTCATCAGAGCTGGAGAGAAGTCGCATCAGAGGGTTTGCTCAGTGGGTGGGCTTCCCGAATTGAGGAAGCGTATGAATGCAAAAAGGCTAAATATGCAGACTTTGTCACAGAGTGCTGGAGCAATGGCTGGAAAGCACAGTGTGAACCAGTCGAAGTTGGGTGTCGGGGCTTCACCGGTAGATCAGTTCAGCGAACTCTTAACCTTCTTGGTATGAAAGGACTGCAGATCAAAAGGGCCATTAAAAACATCCTGGAGGCCGCTGAAAAGGCCTCGCGATGGCTGTGGATCCGGAGGGAGGATCCGTGGCTGAACGCGCCACTTGGACACAAGTCTGGGGCTGATCACCCCCGGCTGGGTCGCCCGGGCGAGGGTGTATGATGATTAAAGACCCGAAACACCCAGTGACCCCGGGTTCATCACTGAAGATGTGTCCAAGTAGCATCAGAAGATGTTTTCAAACTACTTATTATGAATATCATTAACATGTTATGATATTATTTATTGTCTAAATTTGTAGAATAATCGCAACTTCATTACTGACACAAAGTATCATTACGACAACAATGTAAAAAAAACCTTGTGTTTCAAACAACTAGTGTATAAAAAGATATTTTATGTGAAATCTCTTCTTTCAGGTAATAAAAAAATGTAATATTTAAAAATAAATACAATAATTATAATAAATTACTAACAATGTGGTGGTAAAGACATTTTTGAGAAAACCTTAAACAAAAAATGACCAATATCAGTCACAAATACCAAAAAAAGATAAGAACATATCACCTAATAAAATACCTAAAGACAAGAAGAACATATTATTTTTTTAGTTGTAGTTACAGAAACACCCACACATGCACCCAGACACTCACAGAAAGATTCAAGACACCGTCCTGGACTGTATTCTCTTCCATCACTGAGGCACCAAACCCTAAGCGAGAGATGAGCTGGACGATCTGTGCTGGGTCCAAAAGCCCTGGATCATACTTTACCTCTGCCTTACCAGCCATCAGAGCGACAAATACTGATTTAATACCTAGACATACATCAACATAAAAATCAAACCACTGCTCTGCTTACATATATGACATTTGATTAAAAATGCTTGATAGCTACTTTAAAAAGTACTTAATCCTGAATGCCATTTTACCTTTGTGTTTCAACAGATTTTTCTCAATGTTGGCCACACAGGATGCACAGGTCATCCCTGTCACATGAACGAAACATTTGCGTGTCTCTCTGTCCTCTGAGACACAGGGGTTGTCTCTGGTGATTTCGATTGGTGAAGATTTGGATGTGTGGCTTTGTTTCAGATCACTTGACATTTGACTGCTTGATGAAACATCATAAACTCCAGAATCTTTGAATGAGAGAAAAAATGTGAAGACATTAAGTGCCGAGCATAACTGATGAATGCACAGTTATATTTTCTTACAGCTATATTTTTACAGTATATGTATTTTTGGCTTCACGTTTAGTTAGAATCAGAGTTAAGAATTTATGAACATTTCGAAGAGAGAGAGAGCAGTCTGCCTAAAGCCTCTTTAATCCGATTAACTCTCCCACTTTCCCTTTTAAAGGTTGCCATGTCTGGGTTTTGAGTCATTCAAGAACACTTCATGTTATTCTAGAATGGCAACCTGTGTGGTAACCGAGGAAACCATTGTTCTGGATAGATTTTGCTGGCAGAGGAGAAGCCACTGTCTAGACAAGATAAAGATTTTGCCAATTTTGTGATATCTACTTGGTTTTACAGTCAGAGAAAGATTAAAGCCCTAGTTTTAAAGTAGGACATCTCTACACATTACACATTTAGTCAAATAAAAATACATATTAGGCAATGTTTCAAAAAGTTTCAATATAGCTAGTTGCTATTTAGTAAACAGTAAGCTTTATGTGTTCACTTATCAGGTACATATAGAGTATCAGTTTCATGTGGTCTCTGCGAGAAAGATGATCTTCACTGTGTGGGGTATGTATTCTGATATGTTTTCACAACCTTGATCCAGCCACGCTTCAAATCCCATGTCCTCAATTGCCGCCCGCAGTTCTTCTGGACTAGTCAAGCTGGAGTCAAATGTTACAATTCCCTTCTTTTCCTGTAAGTTAACTTTTATGGCATGTACTCCGACTCTCTGGGACACCATTCCCTCTATGGCTTGAACACACGAGTTACATGTCATTCCTTCTATTCCGATAGTAACAGTCTGGGGTGGAATACTGGCAGAATTCAATCTAGAATTCCAACCAGGAATGGAAACCATAAAATTCCCTGGTGGAATCTCCTCTAAGAGCCCTTTAACTGTCTCCAGGGTAAGCAGCGATGGGTCGAATCTAAGGTCCACACTTCCTTTTTCCAGTGAAACAAATACAGAGTTGACACCTACCACTTCCGACAAGGTTTCTGTTATGTTCTTCACACATGACCCACAATGCATCCCTTCTACGCCTAACGTTACCTCAGAGCAGTCAGCCACCGAAGGATGCAGTTGACTCTGCAAGGCCAGAAGTGAAGCATCAAACCCCATATCCTCAATATGTTTTCTCAAAACGTCTGGTGTTATCATTACAGGGTTAAACTTCAAAGAGGCTTCTTTATCACTCAGAGACACTTGGACACCAACAACACCTTCAAGACTTCCAATCCGCTCTTCAATAGATCGGACACATGATTGACAGGTCATTCCCTGCACCCGGATCTTCACCTCGCTCTCCTTGACTGCTAATTGGTGGCCCAAATTGCGCTTAAGTCCACTGTGGTCAATTGGTTCATAGGCAAGATTATCAAAAGCATGTTTTTCAGGCGCCCAGTTTTCCGGTGGACTTCCATTTTCCTAAACAAATAGAAAAAAAATGAGCATAAACTGATGAGCATACCAGTTGTGAAATATAATGTAGCTAAACTTCGTATTATTAACATATGCTACTACCTTCAATGCATTTTAAACATTTATTGTTAGTGGTGTATTCGGTGACCATAAACTCGTTAGTCAGCCAGAAAAATAAACTGTAGAGAGGGGTATTTTGCTAAATATATGCAGCATATAACATATTCATTATAATTTTTACATTTACATTTAGTCATTTAGCAGACGCTTTTATCCAAAGCGACTTACAAATGAGGACAATGGAAGCAATCAAAATCAACAAAAGAGCAATGATATGCAAGTGCTATAACAAGTCTCAGTTAGCTTAACGCAGCACATGTACCAAGGGTTTTTTAAATAATATAATAAATAAAAAGAAAACAGATAGAATAGAAAAAGAATAGAGCAAGCTAGTGTTAGAGGTCTTTTTTGCTTTTGTTAATTGTATAATAAATGAAAAGAAAACCAATAGAATACAAAAAGATTAGAAAGCAAGTGTTAGTTTTTTTTTTAATGTTCTTATGTTTAATTTATGTTTAAATAAATCCATCCATTTTTTACGACAGCCACCATTTAAATAAAATTTGCCAAGTAGCCTACTGTACCCGATATATATCCAAATTAATCGATATTGAATCGAATCGGTAATCGAATCAATTCGAAAGTGTGTGAATGAGAATCGAATCGAATCGTGAAATTTGTGTCAAAACCCAGCCCTAGTGGAAACACATATATGCACTCAAGGGAACCCAATAAAATTGCTCTGAATCTGAGGGACTACAAAGCACTTGCTAATCACACACAGAGGTATTAGCACAACATTTTCCCATTACGCAGTGACAGCATCAAAGAGCAGATTAGTAAAGGTTGTCCCACTGAACAATCACAAGACTTGGAATTTACTCCTGCTATTTTAATACTAATGACTTTTGCACTATTAAGTGTTGATCACTATGGATCCAAAGAGGCATTTTTATTTGTACTTAACTTTATATTAGTGTTTAGACCACTTCCTATCTCATATACACCAGGCTTTTATCAAAAGAGCTAAAGTTTCACTGTGGCAAGAATATCACAAAGTTTTACAGCTATTTGGATTTATATCAATGTTATTGAATTTGACATTCAACCTTCTAAAAGATACAGATTTAAAAGTCAATAAGTTAATGCTCATTCAAATAGGTAGAGATGGATATATATATATATATATATATATATATATATATATATATAAAACCTAGATTATCCAAATGCTGGCAAGAACAGAAATGGCATATATTTATACACTGCTGTTCAAAAATTTGGGATCAGTAGGAATTTTAATGCTTATCAAGGCTGCATTTATTTGATCAAAAATACAGAAAAAAAAACGTAATATTGTGAAATATTATTAAAATTTTAAATAAAGGTTTTCTATTTTAATAATATAATTTATTCCTGTGATGCAAAGCCGAATTTTTATAAGACATTATTCCAGCCTTCAATGTCACATGATCCTTCAGAAATCATTCTAATATGCTGATTTATTAGCAATATTGGAAACAGTTGTGCTGCTTAATATTTTTGGAACATGTGATACTTTCTTCAGGATTCTTTGATTAACACAAAGAACAGCATTTATTCAAAACTGAAATATTTTCTAACAATATGAGTCTTTACCATCACTTTTTATGATTTTATCACATCGTCTGTGATTAAAAGTATTAATTTCTTCGGGGGAAAAAAAAGAAAGAAAGAAATGTACTGATGGCAAACTTTTTTTGTTTTTCTTTTAGTGTATGTGTTTATGTGTGTGTGTGTGTGTATATATATATATACATATAAAAATAAAACTTGCTACGTGTACTGCATTAGGCTAACTTAGACTTGTCATTTGCACTTACATATTGTTGCTCTTTTGTTAGTTTTGATTGCTTCTGTTGTCCTCATTTGTAAGTCGATTTGGATAAAAGCGTCTGCTGAATGACTAAATCTAAATGTATGTAATGTAAACTTTTGAACGGTAGTGGGTATTGTTACATAAGACTTCTTATGTCTTACATAAGAAATGCTGTTCTTTTTAACTTTTTGTTCATACAACCACTAAAACCACTATGAGATCAAAAGGCCCACCACTTCTGACATTTTTTATCTAATGAAATTCATGAAATATGTTGCTTAATTGTCCAACTTTCCTGGCAAATGTATGTATACAGTAGGCTATAATACATATTATTATTTGTAGAAAAGCAACACAAACTTGTTTAAAAAATGTTTAAACTTTTTTAAATATCTTGTTGTGAACACAATTTCTTTCTTAATGAAACTTGTCCTGTGTTATGTTTAAATTGTTGTGAATGAAACTAACCTTATATTCCTTGGATCCATCTTTACTATTCGGTGAGAAAGAACAAACGCACGGGTCCGGCCCGCAGCGGCACAGAGGTTTGCAGTCTTCCATGCAGAGCTGCTCCCTACTGACTGGCCCATTATCAGGCGACTTTGAGATAAACTTGGCAAGATTACTGAAAGGACCGAGTTTACTCATCGTACCGGTGTCCCACTAGTCCCAACACTGGAGTTTAGATTACTCTTTCTTGACCAACAATCGAAAACCAGAAATCTCTAGTTCGTGGCATATCGCTGGTGGTGAGTGAAAGGACTGTGCCGTGGCGTGACGGTCCGCGCACATTTAAATCTCCGCAGGTTTTGCGCTCCGCGTGTCTTCGCTCATCTGCCGCTGTGGGGTTTGCACTCGTCACCGCAGGGCAAAGTTTTTCGCGTCACATTATCTGTCAATGATTAAACTGAATGATGTTACCGAGTGCAAAACGTAAACAAATAAAGGTTATAAATCAGTTCCGAGCAAAGCACACGGCTATATGACTCTTCTCTGAGTTTCCAGTGTTAATTAATCTCAGTCAGGCTTCGAAAAAAAAACGACATGCACTGTAGGGACCTCCCAATGGGCCAAACGAGGACAACCACTTGAAACTAAATAGACCGATTAAAATCTATAGGGGTAGGATCAGATTTAGGCCTACCTTGTTTTAAAAAATAGCATGAAAAGTCTACTTTCTTTCTTTCCCAAAAAACCCCCCCTGAGGCATAACCCATATAGCATATAGATATTGTAGGTAAAGGGGTAGTGATGATAATCTGTATCAATATGAAAATAGGCTACTTTTGAAATATCATATAGGCTTCGAGTAACGTTTAAGTGATTACTAAATTAAATTAATTCATTTATTCAATTCATTTTGGATCTGCAAACAGTAGGCTACAGACATATTTCACAACAAATTAATCTGCATTGTGATTGGATCAGTTAGTGTGTTATAGAGCCTAGCCTACATGTTAGTATCATTCCCAACAAATCTATTCCCTACAAATTATAGGAATAAATTAGACGGACATGTATTTCGGAGGTTTTTCATTTGCCAACCTAACAGTGTTTTGGGCCTTAGTCTTGGCTTTTCTAACAACAAAAGGGGCTTTTTACCCCAAATAGCCTACTACCCATTCATTATAGTGAATTATAATTGTCAGTTATAACAGTTGATGGTAACGAAACTGAGAATCATAATCTTTGATTCAAAATCATGAATTATAATTGTCAGTTATAACAGTTGATGGTAACGAAACTGAGAATCATAATCTTTTTGAGTCAAAATCAATGTACTAGGCCTAATAGGCCTATCTGAGGGATTCTCATTTGTTACACAAATCTGCATACATCCTAAATTTGTTAAAGGTTAGATAAAATCACCTCAAAATTATCCTTTAGACATAATGCATTCTGTAGAGACAAACTGGTGTTTGGAAAGAGCTGTGGTAGGTTTTTGTTGCTATTTAGTGTTTTAAGAGAAAACAAAATCAAGCTGTAATGCTTTTGGCAGCGAATTTATAGCGATCAGTGCCACTGCAACACTGTACTATTGAGTAGAATATCAAAGTGCCAACCAGCAGCGAACAAGTCAAAAACTATTTAGACATGATGCAGGTGTAGTATTTGTGTTTTCCACTAAGCTTTAATCCCACCGAAGAGTTGGACATTATTATTTACAGCATTAATAAGGTAAATAAAAGTATGTATGTAATTCATCAAAGTTTTTTAGAGTACTATGTATATACCACATGGTAGGCTATATGAATATGGTAATCTACAGTGTTGTAGGCTATTAAGTACCATGGTATTATAATCTGATACCAGTGGTGATAAACATAACACCACTGTAAATTTTGTAAGTGTTCTCAGAGTGTCTGTTATGGTTAAACAAGAATTTAACAGTAACTCTGACACAAAGAAAAACATCTGTGAAACCTACAGTATTCAGTCTTAAGATAGAGGTTGTCTTTTTTAAATCTATAGAGATTCAGTATTTTGACTACTCTGCCAGATCTTACCTTACCCATACATAACACCAGGAGAATCTTCATATATTGCCTTCAGAGAAGCACGCGTTCATGATGTTGCTTTGTTTCAATAAACAGCAGATAGTCTGACCTCTCACATCACAGTCACATGACTGTCATGAACTTTCAATCGTCTTTAATTACCAATGACATCAGCATCCACAGAAAACACTTACAAAAATGCAACCTACAAATGTAGCTGGTGCACAAGCACTGGTTTTTACCTATTACCTAGGAATATAATTATGCAGTCATTTTAAAAAATTTGGCCAGATTTGTCAAATTATTTGGTGATATACTGAATTTAAGTGGCCAAGGTTAATGACACAAGTCACTCAACCCTAGAACCGCCTTGCTATGTCCTAGAAAATCTGCTGAGAACAAAATGTTTTGCATGTCTGGCAGGACTAAATGTCAAATAGTGTTTAGACACTTTAATTTAACACTCCTCAGTGTCCCAAGTTGGTCTGTTAATAGCCACCCATGTCTGCATTTGTTCTTCATTCAGATGGCATGTAATCAGTGGTGTAGTCTAGTTTTTTGTAGTGGGTATACTCTGATATTCCCTCCCAGCCTCATACTCACCGTCCCACAGCGACAACCCATAAGCACCACCACCACTCACTAATTCATACAATATGCATCTATGTAACTGAGAGCATTCTGAAAGACTGCTTATGTGATATCAACATGTCAATTTATTATAAGCAACAGAAGACTTACTAATGACATTTACAGCTGGGGAGACAGGGCTGATTTCTTGCTGTTTAGTGTTAATCATTTAACTCAGCCAGTTACATTTATCTTAAGAATATGGTCCCTGGAGAATAGGTTTTATCAGCTGGCAATTTTCAATGACTTTCAGTCCACAAGGTTGGTCAGGAGTTCTCATCTCTCTCATCATCTGAAACAAGGAGATATAAACATTGTATTCGGTTTAACTGCTGTAGACACACACATACACAGTATGTGTGTTATCTCTCCCCTTCTCTCGCATTCACTGATCCATAACAGTAACAGTATGTTGGCTTGAGAAAGCCAACATACTGTTAAACTATTTAAACTTATTATTATTCTACCCCTAATGCTACAGGCACCAAACTCGTCAGAGACATTGGACCTGATCTGTAGTTTGTTTCTATATCTTTTCTAACTGATGAGACTTAAAGTTTTCTATAAATAATTATCAAAAATCAAAGATTTCCCATAGACTTGCATTGACTGAGCAAAAATGCCCTCTCTAGAGGACAACTGCAGTCCACTAAAGGGAGCCACAGGATAAGAAATCTTTAAACTCCCCTCATTTACTTTCGTTTTCAGACAGTTAAATTTACAAATAATTGCATACTTTTCCTTCATGCCGCCAAGCAAAGCTAACATATTTGATCATGACCAGGTCAGGTAGTGACTATCTGATGTCCAGAGGCCAGTGTGAAAGACGTTCGGGACAGTTGACTGATCATGCACTGCTCCGATGGGGCCACTGGTGCGTCCTCATGAAACGTAATCATTTGCACATTTTTTAAGCCTTGCCAATGAAAACATTCAAGCAATTCGTGTCATCTGCTGCAGCCGAAGCAGCAGCAGCTTCAGGGACAGGCTTACGAAAACACCGAAAGA